ATGGATCATCCCAAAATGATTCGATTTCAGGTAATTTTTTTCTAATCTGGCAAATATGGACCTCGCCATATCTTGCCACTTGTATGTTGCTGTGTGCCTTCTCGCGCTCCACGTTCTCAATCATCCTCCTTGAGCTCAATCCCCACAGTCGCTTTGTCTCTTCTTGCCCCCCACCTTCCTTCACTGGAACAAAATTTCCCTCCACATTAAAGTCGCCTTCCCTCACTCGTTACCGCTCCTCGCTCAAAACTTAGGTCTTTTTTTCTAGCTCACACGACGAACCCTTAATGCCCCCCCCCCCCTCATAACCACCACCGTTACTGTTCCCTCTTCATATTCTCATGAAATGGTTATCATTCATTCCCTATTCATTCATTCAATCCATTCATTTACCTGTCATCAATTTCGCTTTCACCGAATTCACGCATCCATTGCCCGTTGCTTCCTCATCTATTTCATTCACCTCATTTCCACCATTACATTCACACACGCATTGTACCGTTGATAATTCTTTGCAAAGCGCCTTGCTTAAGGAGCTATATACATTCCGTTAAGATAAGATGACCTGCAGCAGTCTGGGTTCGAAGCTCTGCACCATGCGGCGAAAACGCGCTGCCGCTCGTCCACGACACTGCCGTGGTTCCACTGCTGGATGAAATCCACCCGGCAGTATGAACGTTGATAATTGGTTCTTTACCCTTCTATCTGGCAACAAAACTGACACCTTTTTGCAAGGAGTCATGTTTGCATAGACCGCAATACCTGCAGTCATAAATACAAACAAAAGACATAACTCTGATAATGTGCACTGTCCTTGAAGTTGATTGGTCCACACCCGAGACAGCTTTCCTAAGAGCCTAGTCTCATATGGGTTGGACCAGATGACGCCAAAAGGCGCACAACTCAAGGACAATGCACCATCAGAGTATGAGAGCTCGGGGCAAGCATCTACACCCCGAGCTCTCATACTCTGATGGTGCATTGTCCTTGAGTTGTGCGCCTTTTGGCGTCATCTGGTCCAACCCATATGAGACTAGGCTCGAAGGAAAGCTGTCTCGGGTGTGGACCAATCAACTTCAAGGACAGTGCACATTATCAGAATTATGTTCTTTTGTTTGTATTATGACTGCAGGTATTGCGGTCTATGCAAACATGACTCCTTGCAAAAAGGTGTCAGTTTTGTTGCCAGATAGAAGGGTAAAGAACCAATTATCATATTTTTACTGGCAAATGAGGTCCCCATAGAGTATGAACGTTAATTTACACCGCAATTAATCGACCGTGATTGTTTGTTCCATCGCGCAGTTAGTCGATTAAAAGATGGTGTGTGAGTGGATGGGGCACCTCACACAAGTCAAGTCGGTGTGGAAGAATAGACCAAATGTCCACCAGGGTTTCCCGCTCGTGGAGGCCCTTCCATTGACAGTGGTGTGAGCAAGCAATTTCACATTTGCACCTTTAACCTTTTTGTGAACAAGTCAATGTATGTATTCATATCGCAGTAAAGCCACGTGGATGTTCTGAGATTTGAACTCCACATGTCTTCGTGGTTACTTTTCCAGAAGATTGCAGGCAGTTAGAACCACTCTGAACAAAGACAATGCCACTCAGGACAAAGCGTTGCACAGTAGTGCTCAATTTATGCAAGAGATGTAGTCATGTGATTACAATTAATAGTTTATTGACCGAGGCAGTTTTAAACCTAACCACTCTGCCCCCCGCCTGCTCTGAGTCCGGTGTGCCTGAGATACTGAAGATGGCCCTGGTAATATCATCCAGAACGTCAGGATGTTGCAATGTATGATGTGAGGGAGGATGTGGAATTAACATTTTGTAAAGAAAAAAACCTAACCACTCTGAATTTGTCAAACTAGATTTGTGATACCTGTTATTATTAAAAATTCAAAAAAATTTTAATTGGATATTACATTCAATGTCACTGATACAAGGATCAATGTATTAATTAAAATTACGCCTCAAAAATAAAGTGAACATATGGCACAAAGGCTGTTTTCGCTTTGGAAAAAATCTAATAAAAATGTCCTCGAAAATTAACACTACTCTATACGGTTGTCATAACACGATGTTGAATAAAACTGGAGGAAATTCGACTAAAAAAAGGTACATCTTGAAAGTCTATACATTACGCTTTTAAGTTCTGATTTATCGTTATTGCTTGGGAAACCGTCGGCAGTTTTGATGCCGCATAAATCGTAAGCTTCAACACATGCACTGTTTAATCCAAAGGATCATTTGGATTAAATGTCAGAGATTCTATCGACGGAGGCAACGGCATTTCTAGGAGAGAATTATTTTTTTACCGCTGCCTGGCAGTTGATCTGGGAGACGGATTCTATTCAAAACCAACGCCTGTGTTGCCCAGATTTATGAGCAAGTGATCGAGCACGCGACAGAGAAATCACGTGCTCCGCTCAGGGGCTCTGCTTGCTCTTTGGATAGAAGCAGCAGTTGACAATAGCAGCTGGGTTTGAAAATATGCCAAGATGGCTTTTTTCCCAATTGTCTCCAAAGCAAACAAATCCAGTGCTGGCCGTTAGTTACATACTAGTTCATTTGTAAGGTTGAAATGTTTTGGCCATCAGGGATTTGACTTTTGGTAAAAAAAAAAACAGGTTGAATCACTGCATGTAACCTTGAGAATGATTGATTATATTTGGTATACACATGCTCACTTGAAAATCTCCACCGACTACACCTGCTAAGGGGTATTGGAAAATAAAAATAAAAACTCGTGCATTTCGGATCCACTTGACACGAATATAGTCATTCTTAACTTACAGCACCTTGTCACAATACAGCACTTGGATGTTGGTTGTGAGGGTTGTTTGACCATATTTCACCATGCGGGTTTGGTAGAGGGGAGTGCCCAGTGATGGTAGCCATGGCCGGCAATCGAACTCCGGTTCCAGGGTTTATAGCGCAGTGCACGAACCACCTGCATCGCAGCTCCACCCCTCATTACAGGGGTTGAATTAAAATGTGTTTTACTTGACCTTCACAATATACGCAACTCTTAATGCACAAATCCCTGCATAAATAGACGTGCAGATTTTGTTTTGTCTGCTTGGGAATTAAACATCTCAACCCTTTTACCAATATTCTCAAAGGCATCTTAAATAGGAAATATTTGCAGTGGTGCTAAAGTTGCACGCGCAGCACAGTATTGCATTTCATAAGCGTTTATTTGTAGCAATGCCGTGTTAACTATAGCCTATGAAATGCCCCAACTGAAAATAAATGAGTGCATCTGCTCAAACAAATTACCCTCTTCAATATGAGCTTTCATACTTTATTGCATTATCTACATATCTCTCCAGATGATGCAAAGCCTCCTCCTCCTAACTGTTCTTCTCTCCCCAGTGACTGCTGCTAGTGAGAGACAACTGGAAACCTGCACAGCAATTTTCTTGAGTTGTTTAGACTGAGGTGAGCAGCGCCCCTGGAGTGCTTGTGTCGACAAGTGTCCATTCGAGAGAACCTTAATGAGAACAATAAACTAAATTCCCAGGTATAGAGTCCTACATTATTAATAATTCTGCTCCAGTTTCAGCTCTCAATTAAGTGCTTGTCACAGTGCAAAGGCATTACGTTTAAACACAGCTCATCACTTATTCAAAGGGGTGGAGTGGGGAGGGAGAACTAAATGCCAGCACACACGCACAATGTGGACTAAAAACGCACAACATCACTTTCCTGTGCCTACCTGCCAGCAATTGCATTGAAAAGCAAAAGAAACATGTTATAGTTCGTGGTTGATTCTAACGTACGTTATGTTTTTTTTCCTTTTTAAAAGCCACGACTTTATTTTCTTTGCACACTGCAACACGATACAACACTTGGCACGCCACAAAAAAAGGCACAGAACAACTCTAGGACAGCATGAGAAAACGACGACTGCATTCTCTGGATTATAAGACGCACGGGAAAGTAAGCCCAACCCCACACGTGCGCCCATGTGTCAAAGTTATACAAATCTGGTCATACACGCGCACACATACAAATCTACCGAATGATAAAAATCATTCAACCCCCTCACCCCATCCTTTGCTTTAACATAGAGTTAAGAGCGCACCTTTTGTAGAGAATACGGTAACACTTGGCCGCACAGTTCCAGCAATGTCTTCGAAATCGATACACAACGTACTTTTTAAACACGTAATTCAATTGGTGATGAAGCACCGGACTACAGTTGCATGCAACGCACCGCAATAAAAAGAGTGCACAAGGAACGGAAGGCAGATTTTTAAACGCAACGACGCTGGTGGCCACAAGTAACCTAGCAAGGCAGCGGACTCGGGTTGGGAAACGCTTACGGGACCGTGGGCCCACTACTTAATTTCGCGCGGACCGCAACCACTTGAGACCTATCGCTGCGAGCATCTTAGCCGCACGCCTGCTTCGGAACTGTGACCCCCGACACTGCCGTGTTGCTGAGGGGAAAGCAGCTGGCATCGCGTTAAGTACAGTAAAGGATGAGCGTTCCTGGGAAATGCGTGGTGCATCAAAAGTACGTGAAAAGTCCTAAATTGGCCTCCGGGTGGAGCGGCGGTACAGTGGTTAGCGTGCTGCAGTGTAAAGCCGGTGACCCAAATTCGATTCCCGGCCATGGCGGCGAGTATCAGAATTGGTTCATGCCCTCACCGCCTCTTTATCAACCCACTGACCAGCGTGGTGAAGTATGGTAAAAAAAAATAAAACTCCCATTAGTGACATGGCGTAGAGGGCCTTCATCAATGCATTGAGAATTTACCGAAAAAGGACTATTTATTTGAAACCCACCCTCATCAACATCACTGATTAATTAGACTGAACCTCCGATGCAGCGTATATCGGAGGTGGCAAGGAAGGATAAGATTCCCCCCCACCCAGGACTTGGTTTGATACATTTCTCACTCGTAGAAAAATTAATACTAATACTGGTTTCTTTGTGCTCCCAGCTGGTTAAACATATCAAACCGGACTTCGAGGAAGGCACTCACCTGAAGGAGGGACGGCGGCCAGTTGCTGTGCCGCAGGTGCTTGACCTGGGAGATGTGACGGCCCAGGGAGCGGTGCACGCTGCAGCACTCATCGCAGACGAGCACGCCACGGTTTATCGATGCCCAGCCGGGATCTGCGTTCAAATGAGCAGACGACGCAACGAATCAACGAGAGCCGCCATTCCCACCTGCATGCACGCTCCTGTCCACGCGTGTCACAATGCCATCACGTGGCACTGCTCTTGTCTGTTAAAAAGAGGTCACAGTGAAGTGGATTTGGTAGCCAACATCGGCCGTGACCCCGGGCGAGGTGCACCAATTGTACCCTCTCTTCTAGCACCCCCCCTCGTTCCATTCCCTGACTACCACATTCAGATAAGCCCCTCCCCCCTCCCCTTGACTTGTATTTAAGAGCTTGTCTCTTGGATTTTTCCTCACTTGATACAGTAAATTTAGCTGTGACGGTCCCTCCTGAAGACGGAGACTTGTGTTGCCTCCGAAACGCCGCAATTTAATTGATTTATTTTCATTTATTATTATTTTATTTCTACAATTTTTTACCTACGTGACTTTACAGAAAAAAACCTAAGAGCAGAGTGAAGTGTGTTCGAATGTAGCTATACAATAAATTGCCAGGGCACTGCTGAACGAGGGCATCCCCACGCCGTTGCAGGCGATGAGGGTTATCGTGCCACACTTAGCCAATCGGTGTGCATGAGGGTAGCTCATCCAAGTGCTATCCAGGCTCATCCCTGCTTAGCTAGATTGGAGGCATTCCGGATGATTTGGCAACGGGCATCCAAATGCGTAGGGCATTTAATCCAGTTCACATCCACACACACCCTGGCGGTATCGCTGCAATCCATACAGCGTCTGCTGCTGCCTTGGATTGGTTGAATGAACTTAACATCATCTATACAACTTGTTGCTTCCCCCCACCCCCGCCCCCATGCCATATGAAAGAAGACAAGAGTTTGCTGTAGTAACATGGAGCAAGCGTGTTGACCCCGCACAGGTATGTGCAAAGACTTTACAATAGCCGGTGACCTTCATTATGGAGTACTGTACTTTTGTTTGCGAAAGCTATTGGTCATATACCGTATTCTCCAGACGCTCCAGAAAGTAAGACGCACCCCAACATTTTGGGCCCCACTGAAAAAAAAGTGTATTTTATGATGGTGAGAATACGCTATGACAGTTCTGTGGAAAGCCATCTTACGGATGATGAATATGAATGCGCTGCTTTAAATGGGAAGAGAGATGTCCTCCGGAAGGTTATTCTGAATGGCTGGTTGTGTTTTTTTCATCCTCTGGGTGAGGAAAGTATTTGTATGGAGAATTCTCACAGAAGATTATTCTTAACTACATTAAAATAACGTCTTTTGAAAAAGATTATGCGTTCCCCAGATTATAACATGAACACCAAAGGCATGCTTTTAAACATAAGAGGGGGGGGGGGGGGAAGGTGCCTCTTACACAACTGGAGAATAGGGTATATCCTAGTTACATGCTAATTTCTCACTTTAACATCATGCTAATCTCTCACATTAACATAGCCACTTCCGTACCCAGTTACATGCTAATTTCTCACATTAACACCACTAGACCCAGCCACTCCTTTATGACCCTTGGGCTACACCCATTTCAAACCTTTAAAACAGTCTGCATCAGCAGCAGGCCATGCTTTCCCACCTGATGTCGGACGCTTGTGTTGTGCCCGAAACGTCGTGATCTATTTTATTTTTATACCTACGTGACTTTACCGAAAGAACCAAAGAGTAGAGTATGGATTCCTGCAGTCACAAAAGCTTCAAATCAAGATTGGTATATCCTGCCACAGAATACGAATTTACAAACCAGTTGTCTAAAGCGGAAACGATCTTCAGAATATCTCTACCAAACAAAATTGTGCTGTAGCAACAAGGCACCGGTGGTCAAAGCAGCAACGTAATTTTAATGGTCTTTCCACAAATCCCACATGGTTATTTTTCCACAAAAGGGGCACATCACATCAATATGTTACGCATTTAAATCTTGAAGCTTCATCTGAAAGTGACTGTGCCACAGTTGTTTTTGCTGGGCCTTCGATGTCTTGCCCAATGGGTAATTTTAGGATTTGTAACCTTAGTCCGTCTCTCAGCAGGAAAGTTGGCACCATGTGTGCTAAAACCAAGACGGTAAATTCAACTCGACACACGCATGGCTCTACACAATGCTTTCAGGAACAAGCTTTGACTTGGGGAAATTAATAAAATCAACACTTCACGGACACTCGATGATTTTAAAGCAAACAAATTCCTATTACTTGCACTACGCTCGTTCCACTCTACAGTCCTACAAAGTAAAAACATAAAACAAGCTCTAAGCGCATAATGAAAGGGGAAGGGAAAAAAAGGATTTTCCATCGTGTTTGGTTTCAGGCCAAAATTCTGCCAATCAAGCAAAGCCCCCCCACACCCCCTTGTGCCAAGCGGCATATGGGCCATGCCGCATGGCTTGACATTCTTAAAGGCACATCACTATGAATTAATGCGCAGCGGTAGCACTTGCCCTGAGAATGTGTGACATAACGCGTGAGCGCGAGGATTTTTGCCACGTAAAATAGCGGCATCTAAATGCGAAGTGAAGCACCCTCTGCAATTCGAGTGCGGGGAAGGAAAAAAAGATTTTAATTTGAAGTTGTAGTGAATTGGTATAAGTTTTTTTTTACCACAAACGCTTTAATGGTACACTCAATATGGCTTAAACGTATATTCCACATTTCAATTTAACTCTGTAGAAATCGTACAACGTCAAGTTGTGGAATATTTAATTTAAAAAAATATATACGTTATTACTAGTCGAGCATGGAATTAATATAATCCAAGTACTGTACTGGTTGGGCCATGTTGAGCATGTGGCTTACAAGCGGCTGCGACAACTTGCGTGTTAAATAGAAAGCTGTAAACGATACCCGGAGTAAATCGCGCGAGGCATTACCAATGACAAAAAAGCGAAGAGCTCAGAAAATCATCAATCAGTCAAATTGTGAACGACAATGGGCTGAGCTGGCTCATTTTGCTCATCAAAATGGAGTTTAATCTGTCGCTTGCTAAGTGCGCACTTTAAGGCCACACTGAACGTAAATTATAAAGAAGATAAAATTGTTCGATCCATATTTCTCCCTGCGCTTAAGTGCGTGTACAGTCCTCTTGTAAATCCACTGCTGGATGAGGGCCTACACACACTGGGGGTCGTGGGGATCATTTCACCACGCTGGTCAGGGTGAGCTTGTGGAGGAATAGATGTGGGGGTCATAGAATTACAGTACAACAAATTTTGCTACATCATGTAACCTCGAAAGCCCTATGACAACCTGTTTTTGCATGGCGATCATCCGTCCATACCCTATCCAGGCTCAAACCTGCTTCGCTTCTGTGATCCGACGAGACTGAAAACATTCCGTATGGTCATTGGCAATGCTTCGCAGAGCCTGCATGCCTCTAATTCCACGAAAAATAACGCATCCGAGTGTGTATTAGCTGCGAACAACGGCTCCCGCTACCAACGCATGAACTGTGCGCAGAACCGATACACAGAACAAGGGCTAAAAAATTGTTTGGGGCAATGTGGTCCGTACAGCTGTCTTGCGAACAGGTTTAAAGAAAGGAGCTCAAATTACAGCAGTTAGCTGTGTGCTGTGGGATGGCCATGTTTGGGGGAGGCAAAACCACGGGCGAGGAGAGGGTGGGTGGAGGTTACGGGGATAGCTCCAGCAGCAAGATGCACTTTGTGCTCTCAAGCATGGGCGCAAGAATGATGATACACTTTGAAGGTTTGGTTGAATGAGGCTATTTTACGACATTCACGGTCAAACAAAGCGATATGGTTATTTTGTCCCTCCCTTGTTCAGGGAAATGACTGCAAGAGTTGTTTTCAGGTTCCATTGTGATATATGAAACCCACAAGGTTTTACTGTACTGCCATTATTTCTAGCAGTATCAGAACGCACGGATTAATCATCGGTTAATTTTGATGCATAATCTTCTCACGATATGTGCATTGAATCACGTGGGTATCAATCGATGTTTTTATATTCGTACGTTTTAAGTCATGGGTTTCACGTGATCGCTCCAGCCACTAGAGGCCACTAATTCACGAGGAAGTAAAACAAAAATCGGCTCTCATAAATTCACAAACCTGAATCTTGACAATTCATTGAATCGCCTGAGAAGTGAATTGGCTACATCCCCCATTATTACACGTTACATACGCTTAAGGAGTAGAATTAATCTACAGAGTTAGATTCCCAGCCACGGCTAACATCAGTGGCAAGTGATATCTGAACCGGTCCGAGCCCTTCCTTTACCAAGTCCCATGGACCACCGTGGTGAAGTATGGTCAAATAACCCCCGATTCTTCAAGGGCGTGGGAAGGCCCTCATCCCAAAAAGGACCATATATGGCCAATATACCTGACCGTACTGTGGTTAGGAATTTAGTTTGCTCATATCATTAACATAATTACAGTACTATGTTACTGTGGTGTCGTGAAGCAACGGGCACGTTTATTGATTCCCTCTACTGCCTCTGTCCATCCAGCAGAATAAAGGAGTACACCACAATTAGTCAATCGGCAGGTGGGTTACTCCCCCATCTTAACCAAGACAGCCCTGGCCGCCATCAAAGATTAAGCCCAAATACCCTCTAGAGCAGGGGTCCTCAAACTTTTTAAACAGGGGGCCAGTTCACTGTCCTTCAGACCGTTGGAGGGCCGGACTATAGTTAAAAAATACTATGAACAAATTCCTATGCACACTGCATATATCTTATTTTGAAGTGAAGAAACAAAATGGGAACAAATACAATATTTAAAATGAAGAACAAGTAAAGTTAAATCAACAAACTTGCCAGTATTTCAATGGGAACTATGGGCCTGCTTTTGGCTAATGAGATGGTCAATGTCCGGTTCCATATTTGTCACTGCTAGTCGTAACAAGTGATGCAAGTGTGCATCCGTTAGTCTAGATCTGGTTGGAGATTTCAAATGTCTCATTCTGGAAAAAGTCTGTTCACAGACATAAGTGCTGCCAAAGATGGTTGCCATTTTGAGTGCATGGTTCCTGAGATGAGGATATGTCTCAGAGGGGAGAGATGCATAGAAATTATGAAGGCTGCTTGACTTGAATGTGTCTTTCAGAGTCACAATTCTGCAGTTCAGCCAGTTCCATTTGGTAAATTATATCCACATTTTCAATGTCAATAGAAAATGGGTTACGGAAAAGCTGTATGTCCTGTTCATGGAGATGAAGCTCTTTAAATCTAAATTGGAACTCCTCCTGCAATTTTTCCAGTGAATCCACACATGTTTTGTTTGGGAATGCAACCAATGGTTTTTCCGCTAACAGATTTTGAGTTGTGGGGAGATGGCAGAAGTTTTCCTCCTTCACTTGTTTGATGAGGAGGCCTAATTTTACTTCAAATGCTTTGACGTGTGATTGCATATCACAGATGAGCTTCGCCTTTCCTTGAAGTTGCACATTGAAACTGTTGAGTAGCTCTGTTACATCCGTCAGAAAGGCAAGGTGCCATTTCCATTCTGCATCATTGAGCTCTGGTACTTCTTTGTTTTTTGAAAGCAGAAAAGCTGTAATCTGTGGAAGTAAGTCATAGAAACGTTTCAAAACTCTCCCTCGACTCAGCCAACGGACTTCTGTGTGGTACAGAACATCTTCATAGTCAACATTTAGCTCAGACAGAAATTCCTGAAATTGTCTGTGGTTTAGTGCATGAGCTCTAATGAAGTTAACACAAGATACCACAATTTTCATAACAGAGTCCCACTTCAGTGATTTACTACACAGCGCTTGTTGGTGGATGAGGCAGTGTATGGCTATTGGATGAGAATGGTTATGTTTGTCCATCTCTTGGTTAATGCGAGCAATTACTCCTTTCTTAGACCCCACCATGCTAGGAGCACCATCAGTTGTCACACTGGCTAGTTTAGCCCAGTTCAGCTCCAAACCATTCACAGTTTGGCAAACCTTTTCATAGATATCCTCTCCTGTAGTTGTTCCTTTGATGCTTTGCAGTGCAGCAAGTTCTTCTGTGACTTCGAAATAGTCATTCGTCCCACGAATAAAAATTAGAAGTTGTGCAGAATCACGAACATCATTGCTTTCGTCGAGTGCCAAGGAAAAATAGGAAAGTTTTTTTGTGGAGTTTTGCAAATGCTGATGCAAATTGTCTCCCATTTCTTCAATCCTCCGTGTAATTGTAGGTCCTGAAAGACTCACTGTACTAAATAAATCGGCCTTCTCTGGACACATCTCTTTGGCAACAGAAAGAAGGCATTCTTTAACAAAGTCTCCCTCCACGAATGGTCTGCCAGTGCACGCTATTAGCTTGGCAACTTGAAAACTTGCTCGCAGTGATGAAATATTTAGCTGCTTCTGCTTCACAAAAGTATTTTGCTGAGTTGTTAATGTATTTTTCAGTTTTAATATTTTATCTTTTCTCACTTCTCCGACCAAACAATCATATTTATCTTTATGTTGAGTTTCATAGTGTCGACGTAAATTGTATTCTTTGAACACAGACACTATATTCTGGCATATCAGACACACAGCTCTTTCCTTGTACTGCATGAAAAAGTAATCATAAGTCCACTGTTCTTTGAATATCCTACACTCCGAGTCAATTTTTCTCTTTCTTGACATCGTTGTTTCCTAGGGAGTCAAAATTGCTATTAGTAAAATACCAATATATATACAGTGCTACAAAAACAATATACCAGCAATAACTTTGCCCACACAGAGACATACAGACTGCACTGCCCCTCAATGTAGTCTGATTGGGGGAACTCCGCTTTTACCCCAGGCTCACACTGGTGCAGGTGCCATTAAAAAGTTAATTACACCTGCAGTTTTGTTCACAGATCGCAGTGATCACTCTGTTATTACCCCTCTATCATTTACTCAGCGGTGCGTGTGCTGGGGATCTACATCCCCAGCACACAGGAATATCACTGGGAGTGGAGCCGAGGGGCAAGTGAGGGAGCTGAGGGAGGGAGAGCCAGTCAAGCGCAGCCAGGGGTGGGCTGGCAGCCTTAGGCCTGGGGGGCAAGTCCAGTCAATTGGCCCATTGAACCATTCACCAGCGCAGCCCAATGAGTGCCCACCGCCGCAGCTCAATCAGTGCCCAACGCCGCAGCTCAATCAGTGCTCACCTGCGCAGCCCAATTAGTGCTCACAAGCGCAGCCCAATTAGTGACCATGGGATGTGGGTGTCATCTGTCTCACCTCTTCGGTTCGGGGGGTAATGATGCTGCCAACTTCCTCCAAGCTGCCTCTGCTCTAAAAGACTGTGGCTGCGCTGTGATGCTCAGTCTGTCACGTCTCCCGCGCTCTCTCTCCCACGAACCAGCTTCCGGCTTTCACTGCCCACAAGTCACCGCGCAGCTGGCCCCTCCCACATGCCCTGGCTTCCTCTGAGTCCTGGGAGGTGGGCGGGCCGGATAAATGTCCTTGGCGGGCCGCATGTGGCCCGCGGGCCGTAGTTTGAGGACCCCTGCTCTAGAGGCTTGACAGATCCTCCTTTCTAGGTGGCGGTACTTATGCGATGTGTGACGTGAGCGAGTAACAGCACGGCTGCTGCTCCTTTACCATTCACTACACTGTGATGTAGTTCACACATGTTACTAAATTACGTGGATTGGGTAAAAAAAAAAAAAACCTGTCCAGCAAAAGTATTCAAAACATGACCACAGCCTAAAAAAAATTTAACGCAAAAATATAACAGTCCGAAAAAAATAAGGTTTTACCCTTTCTGCATTAATCACATGTACTAGTGGTGAACATACGTGTGGTTAATGTAGACATGATTCCTTGCAAAAGGTTTCTATTTGGTGTTTCAACATCTTAACACCTCCAATTCTATTGCCAGAAAGGGTAAAACCTATGATTTTTTCATACTATGACCCTGGCAAAAAAGGTCCCATGTTATAACAGTCCACAAACGCTATCTTGCAATGGCTGCCTGCAGGAAAACATCGATGATAATCGGCAGGGAAGGCCTCTGTCCGTACTGTCTTTTTTGTACGTGGAAACGACAGGTGTAGTTTGGTACACGGACCGATGGACGGTGATAAGTGTGAGATATTTTCTTTCCACTCGGCTTCCTCTGTCATGCTATCATTTGTTGGCTTAGCCAGTACTCATTCTAACATCCGTTTCGTTAAAAAAAACAGAGAACGGAGGGAAGTCTCTAAGCTAGTGGTATATATTTTTTTATCGCGTAGACAAATCAACATAAAAGACAGACTTGGCGTGGCCAGCTCGTCATCACTGCTATTCAGTTAACACTTTGGCTTGAATGTGCCGCAGTGTATTTCTGGAGTGGAGCTGAACTTTGAACTGTGGGCACAGAGGCAGTTCCATTCGCACCCCCCCACCCCCGTACTCCACTGCAATGCGCGAATAATAGCAACTATCCAATGCCGATGGGTGGGTAAGTGTGGAATGGCAAGTTGTAAAGATACAAAAAATACTTGACAGCAGAGTTGTGAAAGCGAAATGTGTGTGTTCAAAGGGGTGTTCTTCATAAAAGCAGCATTGCCACAAGTACTCTGGACTCGACTACAGTGCATGCCACGCAGACACCACAGGGAGCTGTGCGCTATGAGGGGGGGGGGGGCACACAACAGGTTCAAGAGATGCCAAGTGAGAACACTTTCATTCGCATGGGCAGGGTTAGGACACAAGCTCCTGAAATCCACTCATCATCATCGGCTATGATTCAACCACTGATGGAAGAAGGCCTCCCCCCCCCCCAAAGCTACTGCCATCTCTCAGGATTCTGTGATGTGACAATCCAACTCGATAGAGATTATTTCACTGCTCCATCTCCTCCGAAGGCAAGCTCTTGGATGCTTTCTAGTCCTTAGCTCCCACTGTCACTATTTGCCCACCCACGGCCACAACCCCTTCAAGCAAGGTCTCCTGTCTAAGCTGAATTGTCTCAACAGTAAGAACTATGTCCTTTAACATTTGGATGTTTCGAATCTATTTATTTTTCTGTTCCTCTAATTCAATTAATCTTGATTTGAAGCTTTCGTGACTGCAGGAGTCCATACTCTGTGGTTCTTTCGGTAAAGTCACGTAGGTCGAAAATAAATCACGACGTTTCGATCGCAACAAAAGCGGTCATCCTCAGGCGGAAAAAATATAATCCAGCAGTGGAACTGCTGAACCAGCGAGAGAGCTGTTACAACAGGTTATATATGTGGTGATGGGCAAGCAAGCGGGGTCTGAGCTGGAAAGGAATTCCATCCATGTACGCAAGCACATTAGTGCTTGAGTCCAAGACGGAGGTAATCTGAAAACCTACCAGCTACCTTTAGAGATTTGTTCATGAAGCCATCCAGATATATGAACACAGACAACTTCAACCGAGAAGATGGGTACAAACTGAGCAATCATTGGAAGGACGTTATTAACCAGGTAAAGTCTTAACTGACTGTGATGTTTCCATCCTACCTGCCAATGTCAGCTGTTATTTCCGACTGTGTCTCTCTCTCTATGCCTCTCTTAGATCTTTCACATGCCCTTTAGATTGCACTCCCATGCTCACATGCCCTTTGGATTGCACCTCTCAGGCTCATATGTCCTTTGGATTGCACTCTCATGGTGCTAATCTCTCATTAACACTGCTGTTGTGCGCATATGCGGGCATGATACTCTTATGCGGCGACGGAAGCTCATTCATGCTCATCTCCCTCCCTAATCTCCACCATTAACACAACTGATGTGCTTGCGTCCATGGATGGAATTCCTTTCCAGCTCAGACCCCGCTTGCTTGCCCATCGCCACATATATAACGTCTTGTTGTAACAGCTCTCTCGCTGGTTCAGCAGTTCCACTGCTGGATATTTTTTTCCGCCTGAGGACGATCGCTTGTGTTGCGATCGAAACATCGTGATTTATTTTATTTTAAATTCAATTAATGTTTAAGTATCCACTCATTCAACGTTTAATATTTTGGATAAAATGTAGATAACGTGCCTCTGACAATTACCTGAAATGCAACATGTGGAGTTGAGCCTGAGCAGTGCATGGATGGGTGATCACCATGCATAACAGGCATTATAGCCTTCTGCAGGGATATGTTGTGTGCAGCAGAGGACAGTCCATTGTTGTAATTTACTTCTATGCTCCCACCTTCACCAACCCTCTCCGACCCGCATGGTGGAGGCCCTCATCCAGCAGTTGACTGACATTCCAGGAAATAAAATTTACGTGAGGCAAACCATTATTATCGTCACCTTGTACTTTTTTTCAACTGAATATTGGATTGATGATGGCACTTGGAAAATGTGAGTGGATTTTTTTAAATTGCTGTTACACCTTTGCTTGAACTTTTAATTTGTGCAACAAAAATCTGTTGGCCTGTGTTAATAGTTTTGACATGTCTTTAAATGGTAGGTGTTTTAAAAACTTGAATTTCTTGTACAATTAGCTTTTCTCCCCCTTGTAATTTGCCTTTTCCGTCCCAGATATCCATTGAAATAGGTGTAATACGGTATCAATAACGGGTGCTCGTCTCATTCAAATAAAGCTTAGGTCTGCAGAAAGGGCCCTGTGTGCCACTACACGACCATCTGCCCCGAAAAAAAACTGTATAGATTCTTGCTCTTTAAAGAGCCACGCTATAAATAAGTTGCACAATACCGTTAGCCTGATTTATCGAAAGCATTCCGGAAAAGTGCATACCTTCGGATTACATACTTATAGGGGTGTAATAAATTTAAATCTGGACCTTCCATTGATCGTTGACCAATTTCTCAATCTAGCACAGGTCTATAAAGGACACCGACATTTTGCCCAAAGATGAATTACGAATTCAATAACGATGTCAATGGGGAATATTACTTTACAGCCGGCTCGTCTAATGTCACACACACACAGCCAGAGAGCCATAAATATGGTATGCATGTCAAATATGGTACACCCAATGCTATACATCACATTATGAATCGTGTGTGGAAATATAACATTCAGATTCAGTTTGGTAAGGGCAGACTAGCACAAAAAATATCGAATTTGGGTTCAAGGTAAACTGTAAACAGAGGGCACACGGTTTTTTTTTCTTTTAGGCATTGTAATTAAGACAGTACAAATAGTTCCCATTGTTTAATACTGTATGTGTAATGTTAAACCAATATTTAAACGCAGTCAGCTTTATAGACTGACTTATACCATTCTATCTTCTTAGACCAAAAGCTGCCCAAGGCCACCAACTGAGTTATCAATCAATGTCTGATTGTTCTCATTGTCAGGGTCTCTATTCTCAAGGGAGTGTTCTCTGCAACTTGTCCAGCCTGGAGATTGCACAGAACTGGGTTAGCGGTTCCATTTTAAAATCACCCCAGCAAACAGGAAAACACTCATGCCAAATTTATCAACGCAGACACAGCCATTGTGAGTGCGTGTCTTAATCGTTGACAATTAAAATACTGTAACAATAAAAAAATGGGGTGGGGGGTGGCCCAGTGGTTAGCCCAGTGCACTAGGAACTCGGCGACCTGTGTTTGATTTGCTGGCCACAGACAACATTCAACATCAGCGGTGAGTGATATCTGAACCGGTCCTGGCAGCCCCCCCCCACCCCTCCACCCTTTCCCCCACCCCATGGACTACCAAAGTTTAAGAAAAAATATCTAAACTCTTAAACTAGATTCGAAGCTTTCGTGACTGCAGGAATTACTCTTTGGTTCTTTCGGTAAAGTGAGTAAGTCACGTAGAAAGAAATAAAATAAAATAATAATAGAATACGACGTTTCGATTGCAATGCAAGCAACCATCATCAGGTACAAATAAATGAGAAAACAACATAGTAAACTTGGAAATATAATGCAATACAACACAGTCGGCCAACAAAACAGTCAACACCCCATTCTCTTTGGTTCTTTCGGTAAAGTCACATAGGTATAAAATAAAATAAATCACGACGTTAGCTAGATGGGCAGACTGCATCAGCAGCAGACCATGCTTTCCCACCTGATGACGCTTGTGTTGCGCCCGAAACGTTGTGATTTATTCTATTTTATTTTCTACCTACGTGACTTTACCGAAAGAACCAAAGCGTATGGATTCCTGCAGTCAACGAAAGCTTCAAATCAAGTCAACACCCCACCTGGTTGATTACGTTCTTCCAAAGATTGCTAAATTTGAGAGACGTAATATAGACATGGAGACACACAGACAGACACAAGCAGAGAGAGAGAGACACACACACACAGGCACACAGAAAGACAACATCTCTGTTTGCGATAAGTAATCCCCAGCAGAAAAAGGAAAAACCTCATGACAACCGCGTGCACGCATGAGAGACGTTTCCCCTCTCCTCTCCAATCTCACACGCATCTTGACACGGGCTTTGCACGCGTTGCCCGCACTCGGCGCTGTGGCAGTAA